TTAAATTAAAATATGCACGTATATGGTCTCCACTTTTGTACGTATAAGCCATTTATTTGCATTCTATACGAATTTGTTTGTATATATGTTTGTATATAATGGGTCGTCCGTCAGCTTCCCTTGTAGGAAAGCGGTTACTGCGTCCATTTGATCCACGATCCATGTTGGGCCGCCAGTGACATCAGGTATCGGATCGTCGAGTAGCTCACAACGGGAGCATACACTTCTGGGAAATCAATTCTGGGAGCAGCCCTTCACTAGCAGACGTGCTTTGAATTGCTCCACCTGGCCATAGTATACCCATTTATTGCAAAAGAGCAGTCGTTGGCAAATGCGTCTGTACCCAGGTTTCATTCTCCTTCAACGCTTGAATCTCCTCGCACATGGCCTTGCTCTCGATCTGGTCGCCTGCATAGCTGTCACGGTCATCTGTCGTCTCAGGATGCCTTTCGCCGGAAATCATCGATATGTGCTCTGTGAAATCATCAGGGTCAGTAATTGAACTAAAGCACTTAAAATCTGTATACTTTCCTGGGGTTGGCGCTCCCGACCGCTGCGCCTAAATCCTTGCTGCTCATCAGCTGATCAATTTTGTTGCGGTGGGAGCTCGAGATCAGGCACTATCCCGTCGGTTGAGAGACTGGAATGCACCTCTGCATTGAATTCGATAAGTTGATGGTCGTCAGCTTCTAACCAAGAATGCAACACCATGAACTCAATAGATTGATACGGTTCACTGGTTGCTGTCGGATTGAACGCTCGTTCTTCGTTGTTCAACACCACGTCTCTGCTGATGATAACCTATTTTTTATCCTGGTTGTTTACTCGGAAATCCTTCGAATTCTCGGCATATCCAACGAAAATGCCTTCTACGGATTTTGGATCAAATTTCTGTCTCTTCTGACTCCACGCCTCTTCTGGCGTTTATGATTCGAGTGTACGAATATGACATCTGTTCACGAGATATGCTGCAGTAGACATGGCTTCCACCCAGAACTTCCTCGGTAGTCCAACGTAGTTCATCATCGATCTCGCTTTCTCGACAAGCGTACGGTTCATACGCTCCGCTATTCCGTTCTGCTCGAGAGTGTAAGGACACGTCTTTTGATGAATGACTCCATCCCTCTCCATGCTCTTCTTCATAACAGAGTTGACATATTCGGTACCGTTATCCGTTCGCAGTACCAGCCATGTATTTGTCGTAAACCTCCTTGACTTCTTTTTTAGACTCGATAAAGTACAAAAACCCTTTGTGGCTGGCATCGTCGCCAAAGGTAACGAAGTAACGACTTCCACCGATTGAAGGTATCTCGACCGGACCGCATACGCCGGAAGGGACCAAATCCAGCAAATCTTGTGCGTGTGAGTAACTAGAACAAAAAGAGCTCGTTGTGTGTTTACCTTGAACGTAAGCAACGAAGTCCGCCATGGATTCCATCTGCAACTGCATTCCATCGAGCATCGTAACGAATTTACGCATACTTTGCTGGTTCCAATGTCCTAATCTTCGGTGCCATAAATTCGTGTCAGCCACCAGAAACGATTTCTCCGATTTCTTGGTGTCCAGCCTGTACATACCATTTTCTTGCATACCGGGAACAACAATGTTGCCATCCATCGTCCTTGAACAAAACATTCATATTCTTCGCACAAATCCTGCTTATCGACAACAGGTTTATCGACAACTCTGGAACCATCCAAACGTCTTTCACTTCGACCGGAATCGAAATACAAGTTTTCTGATTTTCCAGTTACCACGGACTTACCTTTTCCCTTGGAGGAACTTGAAGATTGCTTCTGAGGACCATTAGCAGCAAACTCTCCCGGTTTCTTGTAGGTAAAGCAGGAACAATTCTTCTTATCTGCACCACCTTTCGAACGTTTTGATTACTGCTTCGCGTGGAAAGCAAGGTTGCCAAAAGGAAATCTGTGTTTTTGTTCAAACAAATCTTTTCATCTTAGTTTTTGTCCATAAAATCAGTGATGATATCTGTGTTTATAATTTATTAATTGAATACCTAAAAAATGTCATTTGAAAAGTGATTGAGCAATTTTTCTGACAGAGACAAAAAATAGATAAAAATATATGTATCATAAATTGGCAAAAAATTATACTTCTGGCAGTTCTCAATCTCCTTTTTCATTCCGCAAAAAAAGCATGCATAGATAGGGGAAATGACGGCTTCGGCATGACAGACTATTTTCGGCAACCCAAATTGAAACACTATTTTCACTGGATTTTCTCACGAAAACACTTCGCTGAATGCATGCTTTATGCTTTCAGCTTCAATTTGACTATATTTTTACCACTGAGAAAAAGCAATCTAGCAGGGTTTTCTTGAAATGAAACACACGCTCTACAAATTGTAGCTGATTTCGAGTTGCCGATAATAGAACAGCAGATTTACATGCTGTTCAAATGGAACGGTTGCCGAAGAAAAACTGGTTGCCGACAATACTCGCTCTCACTAGAGAAGATTGGAGCTTTGTAAAAGCGTTTCAAAACAGTTTTTGACAATTCTTTCGACTGAAATTGTTAGAGCAGCTGGCAGTAAAAGATTGTAAACAAACCAATACTGCATATGTGTGCGTTCCATAGAGAAAAAGGCTATAGAAAGAAGGTCGCTGCTTAGGTTGCCGAGAATACGTAAATTCCCCTATAAAAGATTGTGATGATAAAATTGCACTCCAGTGAAAATAATGTTTTGTTACTAAACACCTCAAGTTTAATTTATTAAATGTTTGATCAAATTAAAAAATCTGTGTAATCTGTTAAAATCCTAGAAATCTGTATTCTGTAAATACAGAATCTTGGTTTTAAAAACTCTGAGAAATCATTAGAAATACAGATTTATCTGTAGTTTTGGTAACCCTGGTGGAAAGCACACTCACTGAGCAAAGACGTCAACCATTGGTTATTGACTTGGAAATCAATTTCGCTCAAATCGTCCGCCGTCGTCACCAACTGGTCCACGTTTCCTTCAACAGTTTCGCACTTGTCCAGTTTGATTGAAGTTAATTTGTCCAGGAGACCAAACCGTCGGGTTAGCCCATTATCCTGGAAATTTGCCTGTAGCTTGTTCCATGCTTCCTCGGCTGTTTCAACGTTCTTAACCAGGCTGATACTGTGCTCCTATATGCTCAAACAAATAGTCACCAACGCCCAATCGCTTATGTCCAGATCAACATCCGCATTCTCCGCTGGTTTGACCGCACGCCACGTACCTTCACCCACACAACACGTTCTACAGCGCTATATTTGTGTAAAATGAAAATAATCATTTTGCATTTGATCCTCAAAATCATCCACGCCAAGATGAAGACGAATATTAATATTGACAACAACAGAGGCGATAATGAAAATCCAGCCACGAATGAAGAAAAACAAATGTTGACTACGATACTCAGAGGTTGCCTTGATCAAAAGAATGCTGTTATGTCAACATTCAAATTCATGCAGGTAGTTGGTCTATCTGTTAAGGTTGTCTTCATTTTCAGCTAAATTGAGTGTAGAATAAATGATTTTATCTGCACTGGTTCAGAGATCTTCCGACGAGAAATCTAGAGAATTTGATTGAAGTTAATTTGTCCAGGAGACCAAACCGTCGGATCAGCCCGTTATCCTGGAAAGTTGCCTGTACCTTGTTCCATGCTTCCTCGGCTGTTTCAACGTTCTTAACCAGGCTGAAATTGTGCTCCTCTATGCTCAATCAAATAGTCGCCAACGCCCAATCGCTCATGTCCAGATCAACATCCGTATTCTCCGCTGGCTTGACCGCACGCCACGTACCTTCACGTATTAGGACCATTTTCATCGAAAATTCCCACGATGCATAATTCTGCGTTCCTTTGAGCTTCTCCATAGCGTTTCCGAAGGTCCGAACAGCAGTTTTTGGCCAGATCTGGGCCCAAAACCGAGAGTTTAAGAATAAACGCGTGTGTACTGGTTGAGAACTGAAGAACTAATGAAAATTTTATTTGCTTATTAAACGCAGCTGAACAATGGTTGCTAGGGTAAAGCAAACTCTTTAATCGTAGGTTACTACTCAACTACAACGAATACCCACTATCAGGCCTGAAAATTGCAAAACTTTCTACTGCAGTTTTTCAAAAACCCTTAAAAATGCTAAAACTTGAAATTCCAGCTTACATTTACAAAGAGGAGAAAGGTAGGGCTTCCTGACGATAATAGGTAAAAGTGTTTCCGAAGCCGATATTTCCCCATGTAATTTCATTGGTAGATAGCAATTTTAACCGATGGCATGGCAAGCTTAGCTGTAGTAATTTTCCCTTTGCACGTTTCAGCACAAATCCGCACTCTGGGCTTAAATCTCAGAATGGCAAATCACTCCGAACCGGGATGGTGGAACGGTAATGGCTCTTGCAGCGCTAAAACAATCAACAAACATTTCCAGCTCTGTTTGCACCCAAATATTTACATAAAGAATTATTATTTAACTCGTTTCTGCCCGATTCGAGGCGGAACTCATTAACGGTATTACAGCAAATGCAGCAGCAGCAGCGAGCAGCAGTGGTGTGCGAATTTCAAAATTATCACATTTTTTCACCCTTGCGGTTTTGTTCAATCGCCCTCGGTTTTATCACTTTTCTCAAGCCAGAACTCACCACAAACTCAGCAGTCAGTGCAGTGGCGGCAAGAGGAAGTGGGGGTTCAGAAAGTCAGAAAGCCGCAACCCACAACATCCTTCGCGAAAAAAATAAATATAATAAACGAAGACAACAGCAACAAACGGTTAGGAGTTCATGCCCTCGCTGTTCAGAAAAGGGCTTATCTTGAGGAACGCAGGAAAAAAAAACAACAACTGGAAAACAAACAGGGAATCCCTTTCTTAACGCGACCCCGAAAAACGCAAAGACACGGACGGACGGCTGGGAGGGGATTGAGAGAATATTTTATAAGAAACGTGACATTGCCACGGTAACAAGGAGGCGTATGATTTACTAATTTCGCTTTTCCGTTGCTCTTTGTTTATTTGCAGTGTGCCGTGCCAAGGCATGTTGGGGCCCACCGCCAATGGTCGTTTAATGGGACCCGGCATCGGTTCGTCCGGATCGGCAGTGTCACACCATCGGAACCTATGGCCGAATACCGCCAGCAGCAGCCGTTCGTTCGAGTTTCAGTCCAGCAATGGCGAAGGTAAGTGTAACGCTTTGTAACGCTCTTCAGATCTGTCAGATGATCGACGGACGGGCCCAATCATGCAAGGAAACGAGTGTGAATTTTCACACTCGATCTTCCAGGGGCAGGGTCAGTTCGTTCACTTCAACACGGGACGGGAGAATTCCACGAATAGAGGAGAAAATCTACCTACATAGTGAAGCACTTAAAAAATTGTTTAACATAAACCTCTTTAAGCCAAAGCCCAAACGAGCGAACGAAACTCGCTGCTTCGAGAGCATATTTGAACGACTTTTATGGTACTTTAAAAAAGCATTTATCATTCTCTCGGCTCCGCATCTGCTCGTTACTGGCTGGCCTCTTCCTTCGTGGAAGGGGCGCCGCCGTAGAGTGTAATCTTGAAAATGGATTTCCGATTCCTCAATTTTCGAGCATTCAATAAAATCGTTTTTTAAAAATCATCCGTCTGATTACACACACCCCGATTGGTCTGACACGTTGAATGACGTTTATTGCCTTTAGCTTTTTTCTCGTATGCGCACATACAATCACATACCTGCAGGGGCTGCGTTCGCAATCACAATAGATGGAGCCAGAGTAGATTTCGTTAACAAACGGTGCCTCTTCTGCTCAAGTAGGCCCGTCCGTTCCGCCGCGCCGGTCTGGTTGCCTTCCGGAGGACCTAGACCAATGATTCACCGCTTGAACTCGAAGAAGGAGCATGATAATCATCATCTCGTTCGGTGACCTAGCAGATTTTCATTCAATAAGAGAGAGGCAAATTTGTACGGCCGGCTGCCCTCCGCAGGCCCGAGATGTCATTATCATTGTTTAGAGGAACCACTCTTCGAATTCCGGTCCATTCCGACTTCGAGATGGACTTGTATTGAAAATAGGTTTCTCCTGTATGCGTTCAGCATAGGACAAAAAAAAGAGACAAGTCTTGAACTTCTTTTGTTCTCTCGCAGCTCAAGGTTGGGGTCGTCTCGGACACATTCTTCGCCAAAACTGCGTTCCACTCCGCTTGGAAGAGCGGGACGACGACGAGGACGACGGTCGTCGGTCATAAATCAAATGGCTAAAACATATTAGAGAGCGAACGAGCAAAGCAGCGAGGCCCATTCTTCTTGATTATATTCCAGCTGTGAAAATTGATTACCCACGTCCCTGCCCTCGGCCGTCCCTTGCCGTCACTTTTCTTCGATTTTAAACGATGTCGCTCGTCAGAGTCGTCGAGTCAGCCATGTTGTAGCCGCCTTGTCCTATTGGATGGACGCCTTTTGTCGACCGATCAGTCACTTGATGGGCCGAAAAATATTAACTAAACATCAGTTTTGCATCAGAGTTCTACTAGTTCTATACTTTATACAGTAGACGGGACTACGCGGGTAAATGAGTTCTTATCTAATGATGCATGTCCTTCCGGTGAACGACCAGCCGCAGTCTAAAGGAGCAGGGGGCTTCGGATGACCGATTCTACGACCCCCTGGTGTCGGCTGACAGCCCGAATAAAAATTCAATTGATGGTTCTACTTGCAACTAGGGTTTACCTAATTGAAAGACATCTAAGTTGATTGCTACGGTCAAGCAAATTTGTTGCGCATGTAATCACTTATAGAGGCAATTTAAGATTAAAACTTGCAGGTTTGATGTTAATCATATTTATACATTTTTATTCGGGTGTTGCTCGGGGTGACAGATGACATGGCTAACGAGCCGGATCTATCGAAGCTGAAGTTCTCTACAAGGATCTCACTCACAATGTACAGATGTCCAAGAGTTAAGCTAGTGTCCAAAAAGGGTTAGTGTCAGTGTCTTATAGAAAGCGAACTCAGTTTTTGTTTGCGAGCTACGGAACTTTAGCTGGTTGGGCGGCTGCAATGTGCCTCTTCGCCTCGCGGGTTTCATCATAATCACATGACACTACCCAAATAGCATTTCTTGTTTTATTGCACTCTATTAGTGGTTATTGAGATCAACTTCATAAAACCGCCAATAAAATTAATAGCTCCAGCACAACCTTTTGATAACCGCTATAAGATCGTCATACAGCTTAGTGGACCACTCTTGATAAGGTTTATAAAGTATGTTTGAGAATCACAATAAAGCTGTCTTAAAACCTTTTGTCAGGAAGCCTCATACTCTACAAAAGGTTCTCATAGCCTCTATAAGAGTAATATTGTATCCAAGCAGTTTTATTACGCTTTGGTGAAAATCAGTTATAAAGCCAATTTAATTTGTATTGGCTTCAAAGCAACCGCCATAAATTAGCTTGTTGTTGTTCTGTTCTACTGAAACTTTTTTTCCAAATGGAAATCTTTAGCGGTAAAAATATGTTTGAGTGTTGGTGTCAAGATCACCATGCCATCAATTTTGTTTCATGGCGACATTAGTGAAAATTTTAAAGAAAATATATGACTTTTTAGAAGTTCCAAAACATATGCGCTTGAAATGTTATCGTGTATATTGAGATAATATGAGCGTTAAATAAATACGCCTCCAAAATAATTCAAGTTAACAAAACAGATTGTTTCAGAAATCAAATGAACTTGATGGAATTACCTTAATTTTACAGAAAATTGATCTCAGTACATAAATTCATACCAATGCACACTGGAAATCATTTCGGATCTCTTATTTAGCCATTATTTTATTGAAAATTCTTGGATTTTATTCCAAGGCTAATGGCATTTTCATAATGCCAATATGGCGACAGAGGACAGCAGGCAAGAAAAACACCAAGCGCAATTTCTTAAAATGTCTAATGCTTACATTGCACACTGGGTCAGGAATGCAACCTAGCGGATAAAAAATTAATAACTCCGAAACGAAGCATTTCCGCGACTTGGTGTCTTCGGCAAAATTTCTCGTCATAATAAGGACCATCTATTGACATAAACAAATAGTTCAAAACTCTTCCGCAAAGATGGTGCCACAATCTAACTTCTTTCTCTGACGTTTTGGAGACTTGATGTTTTGGGCAAAGTTGTTTATCTCGAAAAAATAAACAGCTATTTCAAAGACGTTAAATTTCCACTGTCTACTGGTTCCAAGTTATATGGAGTTAAAGAAAAAAATGTCGAAAATATGGTTTTTTTCTGTTTTGGTTTTTTTGCTTACAGCTTTATAATGTTTTATTATTCTCTTATGCAAATACACTAAATAAATAGCTTTTGTGAAGAAACATACTGGATTAAGCTTCAAATTTCAAAGATATTGTTGAAAAAACGAGAAAAAAAAACACAATTTTTGAACATTAATATCTCCCAAAGCGCAAAAAATCGCAACTTTCTCTTTCGTTGATAACTTATTCACAGAACCGTTTCTTGATGTGTTTGTCGTATTGGATGCTAGATAAAAGCTTCTTTTATCGATGTATGTGCTGAAAATACCTGGGAATGTCTTTACATGACCGTGGGGATGCAAAGAGAAAGTTGACGAAGCGAATCTGTCAATATTACTTAGAACCTAATGCAATGTTCAGCTTGAATTCATTTTTTTATTTGAGGGCAAATGTATATTTCTATTCTACGGGTGCAACCGATGAATTTTACAAACATTTAGAAAAGTTTTGAATGGTACATTAACCTTTATGAAAAGTTATGCGTGATTTCAACCTTTTTGCCCTAGGACTGTCACCATTTCGACCAAGATTCGACCGTGTCACCCCATGTATATGCGAGCGAGACGTATACACGAAATGTTTTCATGCTCATGCTAACAATTTTGTTGATTTTCTTTGCGCTCCGCTTGGAAGTACCGGAAAGTTTTGATTATTTTCTATGTTGTAAAAATAAACCACCTATTTACATTTCTGACAAGTCGCAACTGAATGCTTATAATTGTTTTAAAATAACTGTTTCATGGCCAACTAGTTTTATTGCGCTTATTTATAAAGCAATGAAAGGATTAATTTTTTGGTTTTATAAGGGCAATTTATATTACTTTTTTGTATACTTCAAAGCAATCATAAAACCTTTCATAAGTGAAAATAGCATAAGCATCAGTTGGTTTTTTAATTAGCTTTATAGGGGTTTTGTAGATAGCTATTAGAATGTTTCATGACTTGCATTGTATATGACCGTCATAAAGCTGTAGGTAATGGTTGCAGCTGCAATAAAACCTTTATAAATTTGGAATATAGCCAAGCAGCTCTAGATTTGTTACTTGGGTAGTGTTCCTAGATACACACATTTATCACTACTGCCACAGCGAACAGACGTTGAGGCACGAACACAATTTCTTCAAAAAGTAGTGCAAATATTCACATTGCACTCAAGCGCCGCCTATGCCGAGTTTCCCACTTACAAAACCTTTTTGACAACATGATGGCACTGGCGTGGCACAAATTACATTAGACTCTATTTCAAAACAACCCAAATTTGGGTATAATCCATCCAGATTGGTCAAAGCTGAAACTACCCAAAAATGGGTAAACTATGTTGGGAGTGACAAATGAACAACATCGACATGAATCCGATCGATTTTTTTAATTTGTCAACATGTCACTTCGAAAATAGTTTACCCATTTTTGTGTAGGTTCAGTTTTAAACGATCTGGGTGGATGCAACTCAAATTTGAGTAGTTTTGACATAGCGTGTAGACACTAATGGCGGTAAGCTCCTTCGAGGATAATATGCGATTTAATCCAGATTTTCAAAAATCTAGATTAAATTCGGTAAGCATCAAGACAGGATAAAACAAAGAAATAACGCAGCCATTCTCTCTCGCATACACTGAAAATAATCAACACGCTATTGTTACGTGGAAATCCTCGTGCAGTATCTCTTTTCACTTTTATATCAAATGAATGTGACACAAGTAGAGTCTACGTGATACCACAATATCAAAGTGATGTTCCTCTAAAGCAACTAGGTTTTTTTTTTTTATGAAACGTTAGTGGTCTTCAAGCCCTCTTCCGAACCATCCGAGTTCCGACATGTACCGTCATTTATAGAGCCAAATCCGTCTTATTAATCGAACAGGCTTGTATTGCCGGGTCGCACCACTCTTGCGTA